CAGAGTGTGGTTCTGTTTTAATCACCATTTATATCGTGAATCTTCTGCACCACTATCACACCATCATCAACACTTTCTTCATCACTGGGATATTAAACGTCGTATCTGCGGCTCAGACTGACTGATCTTGTATTTCTGCGGCGGAGAGACAGATATCGATAACTGGTAATAATCAAAACCTAAAACCTGCTGACACGAAAGCAGCTGATATCATTTTAAAACTCAACAGGAACATTTTGTGACAGAGATAATTGGATAAAAATACTGACAGTACATATAGTAGATGAACATGAAGCATCACTGACATTTAAATTACAGCTGCAACGATCAGCTGGTTAATCATCGCAGCTCTAAACTGATTAATCGTTTAAGTACTTTTTCAAGCACGAACACAGAAACTCTCTCCGGTTCCAGCTGCTCAAACGAGAGCATTTCCTGCCGATCTCAGCTGTTTCAATCACAGTAAACTGAGTCAGACATGATGTGAAACGTGCACGTGCACAGTCCAAGTAAAAAGGTGTTTTAAAACATCATTTAGGGGCAAAGTCACCAAACTTTAAAAGGTTTTTTTTTTTTTTTTGAATCGCATTTGTCTGATGATTGTTTGCACGCAGTTTATAATCTCTCGTGAACCACTGAACGTCAAGTTACGACTCTCTCCCCATTCATTCAGATGGCAGCCAAGATGGCTGCTGAGTGGAGACACTCGCCTTTTAGCACTTTGACTGAAAACCTTTACGAAGGAAACAAGACGTATGAAGATTTCACTATTTCCATTATTTAATAGATCAAATGATCAATCGATTGATTGATATAGAATAATCATTAGCTGCAGCCCTAACTTAAAGAACAGGTGTGATAACCTGCACTCAGCCGCTGGGTGATGTGTTGGTGAAGCTGACAGAGTTGCTGCATGTCATTTATTTAAACCAACATTATGACACACGTCCTGATGAAGCTGCTAAACGTTCACACACTTTCCTGGAAAATAAAAACGGTGTGTGAAGTTTCAGTCCAACACAAACTGCATATCAACACCGAACAGCTTCGACACAGAGCTACTGCTGCCACCAACGCACACACCCTGATGCTATTAGCTGATTGGACCACCCACACACTCCCACTGCTGCGTGTGTGTGTGTGTGTGTGTGTGTGTGTGTGTGTGTGTGTGGGTGTGTGTATATAAAGGACAGGGACAGGATGAATTCCCAGAAAAGACAGAGCCCAACAGGGTGGTACTGTCAGTTCATGGAGGAGGAGGAGGGGGAGGAGGGGGAGGAGGACCAACAGGACATTATTAATTAACCTCTCCATTAGGGCTGCAACTAACGATGACTTTCATTGCGAATAAATCTGATGACGACTTCCTGTCTTATAAAAGCCGTGTCTATAAAATGTCAAAAAATACCTAATAATGCCTGAAATAGTGTCCCACAATGCAACACGTCGTCTTCAATCGTGGTTCACGAGGACACAGAGATATTCAGTTCACTGAAAATAATAAAATAATAAAATCTTCTGATTTTAGAAGCTGGAACTGTTGTGGCATTTTTGTTTTAAAAAACAAGATTAAAACATTATTTGATCATCAAGATAGACAACAAGAGTTTGTTGTGTATTATCTGTAATAATCCAAAAGCCAATGGAGAAATCCCATTGGTTGTTTGCGGAGGGAACCAGGGTGATGATAACTTCCTGGTTAGCCTAAAGACGTATGTCATCCCTGCAGCTCTCTATTAGCTACTGTGGCTAAATTTGTATTAAACTTTATTGAAGTTTACAACCTTCAGTTTTCATTGAAACTTTTCAGAAAAGCGTGGATTCAAGTTTACAGTCGTTCTGGAGGTTATACTTTGTGCTGCTGTGTCACTGTATCGTGTCGTTATGTTAGCAGCAAAATTAGCATCGTAAACAAAAACCACCAAAACAAAACATAGTAAAACAAACGCTTAGTTTAACTTCCCACAGCCTGAGAAGATTTACTCCAACTGCTCGTTTTAATCGACCCAGAGATTCACTTTACTGTCATTTTACTGAAAACCATCAAATATTCACGTAATTAATTAAAGATATAAATAAATAAAAATAAAGTGAATAAAAGTGTCTTCTTTGTTGTTTTCAAATGCTTGAAAAAAACATTATTAGGAAAATTATGAAAGAAAATGAATGAAAAAACCAGAGAATGTTTTGACATGTTTGCTTGAAAAATGATTCAAATAAAACGTCACATTTTCAACTAAACCTGAACATTGAGTCCGTCGTGACGACAGGATTTACTGCAGCATAAGACCACATCAGTTTTAGCTGCATGTACCTAATAAACTGGCCACTCAGTGTGCTGTATATACATATTACAAAATGTCTTTCTGCATCATTAACACACAGGTTAATGCTGCTGCTTCTCTGCAGTAACTTCACTGAACATCAGTGAATCTCCCGGTTTCTGCTGCTGCTAAAATAAATAAATAAATAAAAAACTTGTGCACTGTCATTTTTTCTTCCTGTCACTGGAGACTGAGACACACTTGTTCCAGAGATACAGCTGCACGATTTATGACTAAAACAATCACTCTCATCATTTCCTTGACACTCAGATCACAAACATTTATGAGCAGGGCTGTGGGGTAAAACCTCAACACCCCGGAGAACTGACTGTCTGTGGTGCCGAGTACTGAAGACTGGTTCAATGACGAATGCTCGGTCAGATTCTCACTCGTGTTTAATCATTCTTTGATCGAATAAGTTAAGTGGCTGCTGGTTCGGTCCTTACTGACCCCTCTGCTTCTTCCCTGTTTGTGCAATAGCTGCTTCGGATTTACTGTGTGGTAATTTCATTAAACACTTAATTTAAGAATCTGCATCAAGTGAAAAAAACTGGATTTGATACAGATTCATTTTGAGGCTCTTATCTCGTGCTCCAGTGTTGTACAACACTGTGGCGCAACTACTGATTATTCTCCTTATCGATGAATCTGGAGATAATTTTCTTGATTAATTTGTTTGTTTTGTCAATAAAATGTCAGATAAAATGGAAGAATGTCCGTTATAGTTTCCCACAGCGCTGTGGTTATGTATTCAAATAACTTGTTCTATAACAATCCAAAACCCAGAGAGTTTACTCTCAGATACGACAAAGAAAAGCAGCAAATCCTTCAACCAGCGAACGTTTGACATGTTTGCTTTGAAAAACTATAATAAAACAGCTGCAGGTTAATTTTCTGTCGACTGTTACTGGATGAAATAACCAGCCGAGGATGTCAGGTTTGGTAAATACAACAAGTCAAACACCTGATACATCAAACACAGAGGCAAAGATCACATCAAAATCCAGTATTTAGAGATTTACAGTACAACAACATCTCATCATATCACTCCACTCTGGTTGTCAAGATAAATATAAATAACATTAAACTCAGTGATATTAATCTGTCTCTGTGTCTGTTGTCTGTGAAGTGAAAACACACTCGCCCGAAGCCAAATCTGTGTTTGTGGAGCAGACAGCAGGCAATCACAGTGAGCTGAGGTAAACACAGACTGTGATTGGTCCAACAGTTTACCTGAGCATCATAAACCCACAGCTATCACACCTGGTAAAGTTTCATTATGCACTTCTGCTCTTATGAATAACGACATAACCAACATACATTTAAAAAGAAGCCGGACTAAAGACCCAAACACCTGCAGATCCCTGGCACTTACCCATCATGCACCACTGCTGCGTGATGTCACGGAGGAAATAACAACAACTGTACAGGATAGACCATTCTGAGCTCAAACTTCAAATGTTTAATCACTTTAAAAATGTCAAAAACCAAATGACAATTTCAGTTGATAATTCAAAGAAGCATCTGCCAACAAGCACAAACTGATGTGAAAAATAAACCAGCAGAGACGCTTTGCATTTGTGAAGCTTTAATTAGCAAATGTTATTTTATTTTTACTTAATAAATGAGAAAAATAAACCGTCAATACTAGACCAAACCCGTGTCCTAACTTCACCTTTCACCTGGACAGTCAAACTTCAACATGCTCCCCCTCGGTGTCTACCTTTAAAATGTTAATTAAGTCTTAATTAAGTAAGTAGCGCCATAAATAAATGATTAACGTGAGTTAGATTCTGACTCCACAGGTGGACACCTACACACTCAAAGCATCGCATCCTGGTTTAGCCAGATAACAACATGCTAATACTCAGTGTTTACAATGCTAACTGACTTCTGGATGTCTTGACTTTAATACTTTAACCGTCACGCTAAAATCCGTTTTTAATAAAAATGCTGATTTTCAGTAAGCACTCTTGGTAAGGATCTCAGATAATTCACAACTTAAAGTCCGTAAAGTAAAACGTTTGGGTCTATTATTCAATACGGGATAGCTCTACATTAAAAACTACACACACACCTTTATATGAGGTGTAGTTAACGTTATCTGTTAGCTACAGTAGGAGAGGCGTATTCTGTTTTAAAAGGTAGCTCTGATTGTCATGAAATTAGCTGCTATTAAGTGTCTCAAATGAGTTCCGTATCTACCAGCAGAACAGCATAATTTGGGAAATATATTAATGTATGTCCTACTTGATAAATGTATGTGTGACAACAGGTGACGCCTCACTGAAATGATCTGATTTTTTTTTAACGGAGTTCGGCGGGACGTTTCTCTCCGCGGCGACTCGAACGTCTCGCGGCTAGCAGGGTGACAGCGACGTTCACGTAACATAGTAAACAAGCCAAGTTAGCCGTCGCAGCTAATGCTTGCTAACTACGCTAACGACGTATCGGAAATGGACAACAAGAGGCGACAACTTTTTCTGCTGACACTGTACGTCTAACAAAAACTACAGACTCTATCGCCTTAAGTTGATATTTGCTGTAGATGCGCCAAATCTAAGCAGAGCGCCATGTAGAGGGAACAGATAACGTTATCTTGGAGCCTGGCAAGCCCAGGCAAGGCCTCTCTTCCTCCGGGCAGCTCTCCTCCTCCTGCCTCCGTCTCAGACTTACCCTGGTCGAGGTGATGTCCATCATAACCTCCTGGAAGGCGGCTGTCTCCTCGGCCTGCCGCTGGGTATGCAGCGCTATCTTCTCGCTAAACTTTCGGGGGTTTGAAGCCCCGGACCCGGTGCCCGAGGTGGGTCCGGGTCCGGGTCCACAGCCGCCTGTACCCGTCGCAGACATCTTCACCGAGCGGACGGGACGACTTGACGTAGTGGAATGATTTTCACCAAAGAGGGGCGAGAAAGTGAAGAGCGCTCACTCTGCAGATACTTCTGGGCACCAGAAACGTCAGCCAGTTTGCATCGAAATGTCAAAGTCCTCAAAACTTATAAGCCTCTTATAGAGTCTAACGTGTCCACATTATATTCAGACTGAGAACAATGAAGGTAAAGAGAGTGATTGTGCTTTAAATAGTGACACCAGTCAAAACAGAAAAATTGAGATCTTTGTTTAATTCCACATGTTTAGTTGGACCTCTGTAGTATAGCTTAGTTTGATGAAGCAATACACAATAAATACACACACAAAAATGAAAAAAAGTGTTTCTGATATACATTTTTCCAGCTTTATTAAAATAAATCAATTAATAAACAAAATAATAAAAATGATCAAATGAAATAAAGCTATAACATGATTACATGCTGGAATTATTATCATTTATACAATGAAATATAAATAAATGTATAGAATATATAAAAATTAAAAATAAAATGATAAATAAACAAAATGAAAATAATGTCTTCTTTGTCAATTTCAGATGCCTGATAAAAAGAGACACTTAAGAAAAATAAGTTATCCATTATCATCTTTTCCCAAGCAATTTATTTATTTAAGTTTTCTCATTTTTAAAATGACAGTAGTCCCAAAGTCCCACCTGGATATTGTGTCAGTCACATTATTTCTTGTTTGTAATAAAATATCTTGCCACCTACTAACTGACAAAATAATGTAATGTAAATATTAATAAATTCATTAGTTTGATGATCCCTTTAGATCGGTTGAAAAATATTAATAAACTGTTCCAGTGTATCTAGAACAGGTGGAACATATATATATATATATATATATGTGGGCAGAGCAGATTTGTTTCACATCTGTTGAGTTTGGTCTCCATGGCAACAGCTTTTCACCTGCCGAGTCTGTCTGAGGTCAAATAGGAACAAGGCGCATGTGGAGGTGTGAACGCCCACTTTCAGAGAGCAGATCTGTTTAGTATTTAAACCAACGGAGTGAGTCCTCCTGTCAAACACACACGAGCTTTGATTTTTGGGAGAAAGTAGCAGCGCGCCACCTGCCGGCAGATTCCGGCTGCTGCACCGTGAACACATCAAACCACAGAAGTCAACTTCCTGAGTTAATTATAGTGTCGTGATTAAAATGCAGTTCTGTGGAAATCCAGGTAGAGATTTTGTGTTTTCACCTGCTCCACCTTTGATACAGGAAGGACAGAGGTCAAAGGTCAGGGTGTGGAGCTGGTAGGAGTTATTTTATGTTATTTTAAATTATGTTAATGAGTGATTAAGACAGAAAACATGAGTTTCCTGGAGAGAGTGTGTGGGCTGAATCAGTCTGAGAGGACAGTGACTAAAAATAGTCGATCAGTTAAGAAGCTGCTGCGTGTTTAATTCAAATGTCTAATGTTCATTCCTCCTCCAGTGAACCCCTCAACTCTGGTCGCTGTGTGTCTCTTTATGGTCGTTTTGTGTCTCTTTGTGGTCATTGTGTGTCTCTTTGTGGTCATTGTGTGTCTCTTTATGGTCGTTTTGTGTCTCTTTGTGGTCATTGTGTGTCTCTTTGTGGTCATTGTGTGTCTCTTTATGGTCGTTTTGTGTCTCTTTGTGGTCGTTGTGTGTCTCCTTGTGGTCGTTGTGTGTCTCTTTGTGGTCATTGTGTGTGTCTTTGTGGTCGTTGTGTGTCTCTTTGTGGTCGTTGTGTGTCTCTGTGGTCGTTGTGTGTCTCTGTGGTCGTTGTGTGTCTCTGTGGTCGTTGTGTGTCTCTGTGGTCGTTGTGTGTCTCTGTGGTCGTTGTGTGTCTCTGTGGTCGTTGTGTGTCTCTTTGTGGTCGTTGTGGGTCTCCTTGTGGTCGTTGTGTCTTCATGTAGTCGTGTGTATCTTTGTGGTCGTTGTGTGTCTCTTTGTGGTCGTTGTGTGTCTTTCTGTGGTCGTTGTGTCTTCATGTAGTCGTGTGTCTCTTTGTGGTTGTTTTAAATCTCTTTGTAGTGGTTTTGTGTCTCTTTGGGATGACTAGATAATCCGTCTTTCTGTGGTCGTTGTGTCTTCATGTAGTCGTGTGTCTCTTTGTGGTTGTTTTAAATCTCTTTGTAGTGGTTTTGTGTCTCTTTGGGATGACTAGATAATCAACAAATAGTAGATTTATCATTTCCAAACTATACTTCTCTTCCTGGCCTTGAGGACAAGTCTTTGGATTTTCATATTTATTCATATGAAAAAAACAAATTCAGATTCAGTCAGTGTTTGATCTGAAAAACTATTTCATGTTTAATTCAGTCGTTCATGTTTCATCACAAAACAAAATGTGACACATTTTCATACATTCAACACAATGATAAAAATATAGTCGTCCTCAAAATGACTTTGGTGATGTAATTACAAAAATACATTTCTAAGTGTCATTTTCACTGTGAATTACATCAACTCTTCAGGATTTATTGAAGAATATTTTCAGTTTATGAAATCCATTTAAAGCCAGACAGAATAAATCAGAGCAGGTCTGAAACAGGTGATTCGAGGTTTCCCTCCACTAGTGTTGACGTTACAGTGTTGGCCTCTGGTGGAAATTGTCTGTGACGGAGCAACAACCAGACTATTGTGTTTGCTCAGCGCAGCGTTTCTCTGCAGAGCCTCGTCTAAATAACAAGACTTGCTTTTTCAAAGTTGAAGTGAAAAGAGGGAAATCTGTTCATCGGGACACAAAGAGTTTTCTGTTTCTGCCTCTTCCTCTGAAGAAAGAGAAATTTCACATATTCACACATTCCCAGCTCTGAGCCGAGAGGTTCGGTCTCAGTTACTGATGGTTGAAAATGTGACATATTTGATGTTTGTCGACAGGATTTGCGGCTGCTGACGAGCTGTTTAAACAAACACCACATATCTGATGTTTGACCGTTCTACATTCAAATCGTTTATCAATCATACAAAACAAACATTATCTACCTCCAGCTTATTAGATGCTCAGATCTTTGGTTTTCATATTGGTCGGATAAAAGGAGACGTTTGAAGACGTCACTTTGGTGTCTCAGAAGTTTTTCACTGCCATTACTTACAGCCTTAAAGTTAACACTATCGGTTATACTGTGAAAGTATCAAAGCCTCAGTCCACAGAGAAATGCACACAGCCTGTATTCAGAAACTGAGCCTTAAAACCAGCCGTCAGGACTTCTGGAACTTTGTGATGTCACAACAAAGCAGTCACCAAGCCCCGCCCACCTGGACCCACCATCTAAACCTTGAAGGATTTGGTTTCTCTGAGTGTTTTTACCTGAAATCTGCTTTATTTTTATTGGATCATTCAGAAAACAGTCAGCCAATCAGAAGAGAGGCTCAGAGCCTCCTCTCTTCTGATTGGCTCACTGACCTGTTGTCACTAGAGCTCCAGAGAGAAGCCTGAGAGAGGAGATGTAAAACTACACTGAGATGGTTTTTATATCTTCTGATGGATCAACACTTCAAATAAAACACAGGAGCACAAAGTAAGAGACCTTTAACACTCAAGCAAGGTCGTATTATACAGATAATTATTTGCACTATTAATCGACTGACAGTTATTTTTCTTAATAACTAATCAATGAGTAAAATGGAGGAAAATAAATCTGTCATTATTACCAGAAGTGAAAATATTCATGGAGTGTTTTTTCTGTTTACTGTCATAGAAAAATTAAAAACAAGTAAATATTATTAATATAATTTACTGAAACAATTTATCAGGTATGAAAATGGTTAATTTTCTGTCAGTCAATTGATCGATTAATCAAATCATCTTTTCAGCTGCAGAGTACTGGTTGGTTTCTGGCAAGTGGGGGGGGGTCAGGAGGGGCCCCCCAGGAGGCTAATCCGGCCGTGGTCGTGTAGATAACAATGTGTTCCACACTGAAGCAGTTTAACATAATAGTCTACCGCAATGATTATTATTATTATTATTATCATTCATAAAATATTTGTATCATTTTCCCAGAACTCAAACAGCTGCTTGGACGTGTGATGAAGAAGCAGATGTTTGCTGCATTGAACCCTCTGATACAGATGAACGTTGGCAGACTGATTTTCTTGCCAAACCCGTGCGTAGCCATGGTTACAGTTTGATGAAGAGCACGCCGGTGACCAAGGCGAAGCCCACCAGCAGCATGGCCACCTTGGGGATGCGGTGCCGGGGGGAGCTGAGCTCGTGCGGCAGGATCTCCATGAAGGTGATATAGATGAAGGTCCCTGTCGCCAGCCCCTCCAGCGTGCTGCGGGCCAGCTGGTGCTGCGGCAGCGCCTTGGTCTCAGTGAGGCCGATACCCAGGCCGATACCCAGCGGGGACATGACGGCGAACAGCAGCAGGCAGCCGGCCACCACGGAGCGCCGCAGCCGGCACTGAGACAGCTTGAAGGCCATGCTGAAGGAGATGATGCTCTTGTGGATCATCAGCGCCAGGCAGATCTCCAGCACCGCCTTCCCCTCCTCCTGCAGCCCCACCGCCAAGCCCTCAAACACTGAGTGCAGAGACAGAGAGAAGACCAGGACGAAGGCTCGCAGCGCCGACTGAGAGCTGTCCATGTGGAAGTGGCCGCCATCGGCCTCGTGCGATCCGTGACGGTGGTGATGAAGTCCGTTCCTGTCGTTGGCCTGGACGCTGGAGTCCACAAGCAGAGTCCGCCGCTCCTCTGTGTACAAGGACGACTGGTCCTTGAAGGCCAGGACCACCTGCTCCAGGACCAGGACCAGGAAGAAACCCATGGCCACAATGAACTCAGGCAGAGGGAACTGCAGCTGTGAGGAGAGAAGAGGAGGAGTCCGGGTGAAAGTTCAGATCTGCCGCCTCGACTCTCACTGGAAAAAGTGAAATGATGTAACATATGGAAAAAAAGATTTGAAGATTTTCGGTGTAGATTTGTGCGGCAGGAAGTTGAACCACAGAGAGAAAATGTTTTTAATTTCTATAAACATGTTTTCAGACCAAAGCAGTTCCACCCTGTTAAGATCTGCCTGAATTATACAAAACATTTTTATTATATTTGCTTAAATAAATTAAATATACAACTTAATTTAAAAACAAGTGTATTTTCACCCTCAGTGATTCAGTGCCCGCTGCAATATCACATACTCCCATGCAGACCTGTAGAAATATTATATACTGTGGTTTTTCTAATTCTCCGACTAATAATGTCCGTTAAGTTTGTTAAAGATCGACATGCTGTCGACACAGGACGACAAACTGCTGAAGAGTGAAGAACCAGCGGATGTGGAGAAGATTCAGATCTGAGATAAGGATGAAAAAAAAAAAACCTGAAGCAGAGAGAGTTTCATCTCGTGTCGACTTGTTGGTGGAAACATGAACAGCCTTCCTACAGAGAAGGAGCCTCAGCTGAGTGTTTTCCTTTTGAAATATTACAAGAATATACCTTTAAATATTATTTATGAATTCTTTTGATATTGATAAGTGAATATTTATGACCTTAAATCAGGCCTACTGGATGAGTCATAGATAAACAACAAGAGACAAATTAAAAGCTTCATAAATTCTGTTGCTTTTTCTTTCAAATTAAAAGTCCTTCAATGTCTGACAAGGAGAATTTACAACCTCCTGAGGAAGGCAGCATAAAAACACATTAAACACTATGTGGTATAAGACAGGAAGTGCGGCAAGACAAGGAAGGGAGAGGGTCACACACACACACACACACACACACACACACACACACACACACACACACACAAATTAGTTACAGTAATCTTTAACCTTTGCCTGTGGAGGCATGGAGATTCATCTAACTGTTTGTTTTGGGAGGGAGGAGAATGATTCCCGTTAAACATGCCCCTCCTTTCACACACACACCAGCTTTCCCAGCAGCGTCTCTTTTTAGCGTTGACCTTCAGCCTCCCTAAATCACATTTTTAGCCGCGTTAGCTCCGTTGCTGCAGAGACGCCACGGCCCGTCAGTTCACCTCTGTGGTGCAGGATCATCATGAACTCTGTTACAGACCCCTGAGGATGAATCATAATGACTTTGGTCATCCTCTCAATTTTCCTCTAGCGCCACCAAGAGGTTGACATTTGGTGTTTTGAGTGAAATGTCAGAACAGATGTTTTTCTTTCAGACTTTTGTCTGATCTTTGCTTTTTTCATGTGATTGCTGGATGATTTCACTGAATTTGGAGTTTTAACAAAAGAACTACAAGAAATCAGTGTTTTGTTGAACACAGTCACAAACACTGACATCGCCGTAGACACTGATTCATTTTTCGGGGTCAGAACCATAAAGGTTGTGAAACACTGACTATATACCCTAACCCTCTACAATAAAGACCGAACTGGTGCTGGAAGAGTTCATGTTGCCATAGAAACATTTACATTTTATAGTAAATGATTTTGAACATAAATAAACAGGAGAACATTTGGCCTTAAATTACAGTTTAGCTAACTAAGCTAACTAGCTAGTTTCCAACTTGTGAAATGACACCCCTAAAGTGGACCGTACCATTTCTTAACCTTGACATTAGCTGCTATCTGCTGACCGTATCTACGGATGAACGCTAGTTTTAGCTAGTTTCTACCTTTAGCCTTCGGTTACAGGTTAGCTAACTACTGTTAGCTAGCTGATAGCTCACCCTTTCATCTCCAGTGTTAGCTTGTGATTTCATGACCAATATAAAATGTCATGTTTGATCTAATGTTACAAACTCTGGAGCTCAGTCATGAGCAGTGAGACGATGGAGGATTAGTTGTTGTAAAGAAATGTTTAACATCAATATAGAGTTTATTATTTCATGTTAATAGTCTTTGTGTGTCTGAGGTGGTTTAGTTAGTCTTTTAGCTTTTTGATGTTAGCGTCTATAACAGATTCCATCTTTGTTTCACTCGACTTCAGGGGTTTTACTTGTTGGATCATTGAACTCTATTAAAATTTTGAGGCAGCAGTATTTCCATTTTACGCTACTTTATACTTCCACTCCATTTCAGAGGGAAATGTTTTCCTTTCTACTCCACTACATTAATTTAACAGCTTTAGTTAAACAAGACACTGTTACACTTCACTGAAGCACACACCTGAGCTGTCCTGGGTTCTGGGTTGTACAGGTGAAATTCATTAACCAGTCATTAACCTGTGATCGGCACAGTGTCTCTGTTCAGCAACGTTAACATATTCTCACTTTAATTTGTCCAAAGTTCCAGTTTAACTGAGTTTTCTGTTCCTGACTTTGCAGACATGTGAGTCTTTATGAATCCTTTCTGTTGGCGCAGCAGTGTGTGTCGCTTTATGGTCATGTGACATGTGAACGACGGCCCTCGTGTTCACGCCGCCATATGTGTATAAACGAGGCTGACGGTCTGAACAGTCTAAAGTCTGGACTCGTGTGGTCTTACTGTGATGCCTGCATTGCTGAAGGCCTCGTTGATGCCCTGCAGGTAGTCCGGCAGCAGGTCCAGCAGGCAGGTGGCCAGGAAAACTCCCCCGGCGAAGCAGCTGATCAAACTGAGCAGCCGGCGCCGCGAATCTGCAAGAGCAAGAACCAGGGTCAGCCAGAGACTCGCTGAGCGGACTGGAGTGTTAGAGCCACCAGAGTCAGAGGGATGAGCGGGACGACACAGTCAGATACAGAGGATTTAACTAGAGAGGCCAAGAAAAGACTGGAACCAAGACTTCACCTGTGTGACCAGTGTGTGTGGTTGTTACGTACATTTTATTACTAGAGACAGATAAATATGTTTAATCACGACTCCAGTTTATGGCGTTCATTGTTGTTGGTTGTTGAGGGTGTTTTCTTTAACACTTCCTTCATCTGTTTCACAATAAAAGCTTTCCTGTGTTTAGGTTTTCATTTGCAGGACAATGGTTGAGTTTTATTACTCATAGTTAAAATATTTGTCAAGTATACAAACTCTAATAATCAAGTTTTCCAGGTGGAGCAGCTGATGCAGCTGCTGCCTCGAGTCTGTGGAGATGCTGCGGGACAAGTCTTGTCCTTCATCCTGGATGTTTTTGGACTATTGGACAAATTCTGAACCCCTGCACATGGAGCACGTTTACCTGCTCTGACTTTGACCTTTGTTTTCTCCAGAGACAAGAAAAGCTGAGTAAAGCTCGTGAACTCAGTCTGATTCAGTGACGTTCATTCTGCCTCGTGTTCCCTGAACTGAAACTCTCTCCTGTACAAAGACCAGGTTCTCCTGGTTCCTCACCTGGGTCCACGCTGCAGCGCCCCGCCCCCCGCACCAAGCAGAGAGGGGTGAATCCAAACAGCAGCGTGACGGACAGCAGCACCACCAGCGCTCCCAGTTTGATCTCCAGGGCGGGGACGTCGGCCGGGTTAACCTGCAGCCCCGCGGTGTCCCTCCTGGGAGACAGGAGGACAGAGGAGGACACTCTTCCTCCGAGAGACATCTTTAATGCGGTTTCTCTGCACCTCCTCCGTCACGTCTGAGTCAGGCAGCGAGGAGATCTCACACACCCTCCATGGATCCTCACAGGAGCCAAGAGTCTGTCAGGCAGAAAACACAATGGATAAAACCTCACAGCACAGACAGTGCTGTGACCTCTGACCCTTGACCTCCAGGCTACAGAAGCGTCTCATATCTGTCTGTATTCATTCCTACAACTCAGGAACTTCGGTCCAGACCGAAATGTTCCTGGTCCACAGAGTCGCAGTGAGCGACAAGTATTCAAAAGTTTTTTTTGTCAACACATTGTTGTATTGATCCACATTTACAGAATCTAATGACGCTGAAACAACCTGCTGACTGACTGACTGACTGACTGACTGACTGACTGACTGACTGACTGTAGAACCTGCAGAATAAACAGCTCGTAGAATATGATACAGAGCCGATAGAAATGAGCATAAAAACACAACTGAATCAACAAAACGACACCGACAACAAACTGTTTATCTGGAATCAAACAAACATTTAAAACCTCGTTGCGCTCTCGACAGTCGGACGGCAGATTTCTGAAGGTAGAGGTGGATTTTGGTCGTGTTAAACACAGCGAAGGTTCAAAACAAAAGGAATCTTTATTTAATTAAAACATTTCAAACATGGACTCGAAGCATCTTCTGCCTCGTCTTCATCTAGTGACCGTCGTCGTTACACTGACGAGTTCAAACTGAGCCGCTCAAACGTGGAGCGGCACAACATGACTGAACGTGGAGGAGCTGAAGGTTTTTCTCCTGTGATCAACACAGTGTACGGTCTGCATATTTTCCAAATAAAATAAAATTCATTCACTGACTAAAAGCTCGGCTTCAAAGTAAGAGTCCTTCACTTCAGAAATGTAGTGGAGTCACAAGAACAATATTTGTCTTTAAGTATAGTGAAGTAAATCAGAAGTTTACAAAAAAATACTCAAGTACAGTACTCAGGTAAATGTACTTTGTTACTGTCCACCTGTACTTGAGTGCATGTACTGTATAAGGGCTGCAGCTGAGAATTATGTTTTATCATGGATTAATCTGCAGGTATTTTTCAATGAATCCTTTACTCTACAACATTCATCTAAACATTCAAAACGTCTTCAAACGTCTGGCTCTGTTTCTAAACCTCCAAATATTCAGTTCAGATTCAGTCTGTGATGAAACGTGAGAGAAAAACAGAAAATCTTTTATTTTCAGGCTGAAATCTGAAAATCTTTGGCTTTTTTAAAAACTGTTTTTGCTTGAAAGTGACTGAGACGATGAACTGATTTATCAAAACAGCTGTAGATTATTGTTCTGTCCATCGACTGTTGTTACAGTTCTAATATGTGAAAAACAAACATCAATCATGATGATGTTGTGTTTCTCAGTGCAGCAGCAAAGCTTGAACACAAGTGTGGAGGAGGAGGAAGTGAAACAGAGTGAGAGGATAAAAAAAGACATTTAAACACGAAGCGTGTAAAGTGTAAAGTAAAAGTGACATGAAGCAGAAAAACTTCAGAGAAACAGACAGAGAATAAACTTGTTCAGGAGCGAAGAGTTTGGTTCATACTGAAACAAACAAAAATGTCACACTGTGAGTCATGTGAGCTCTGCTGGATCCTCCGTGAGCTGAAGACGTTTCACATGTTTAGTTTTTACAGATAAAATAAGAGTGAGTTGAACAGGAAACACAAATAAAAACAAAGATATTCTGTACAACGTGTCAGAGTCGAGCAGTTTCCTGATTGTGAGCGAGTTTATTCACACAGTTCCACCGAGGGCGAGAAATAAAACCCTGCAGTATAATAATTCAATAGAAAAATTAATCACTTTTTACCTCTTCCTCTGACACGAGTCTTTTACATCCTGGTACTTGATTTTAAAGATCTCGGATGTTTGGGACCGACCTGCACTTTTATAACTGAGATCCTCCACACACAAGTTTCCACAAGAAAACAAACAGTTCGTTAGTTCTCTCATATTTGACTTTTCTTACTGGTTTCTGTTTTTATCATCGTTTACATATTTTATCATCCACTGTTCTTCTATTCTCTTTTTTCATTTTCATATTGGCCCTTATTTTATTGTGTTATTTCATTTTTTATCATAAAGCGCTTTGATATCATCTCCAGTGAGAACAAGTGTCACAAGATTCACATAGGAGATAAAAAGTGCTTGAAATTATTTACAGACACATTCATTTGTAATAATAAACATATAATGCAAATATTTGAGCTACATTCAAAATAAAAGCATTATCTACATGCAACTAGAAAAACAAGTTAAGCACTTTGAGTTACAAGTCTTGTATGATATTTTATATTCATTATTATTATTATTATTATTATTATTATTATTATCATCATCATCATCATGATTATCATTATCATTATTATTTTTATTATTAACCAACTGATTACAGGAACAAAGAGAAAAAGCTTCATATTATTTTTACACTTCATTTTAATTATTCAAAGAACAATATCATGTATCAGTGTTTTCAGTGACACTGTTCTGCTTTTTCTTAACAATAATAATATTTTGTTTCTATAGAAACTAAAATAAGAAAATCCCCATGAACATGTTGAGTTCCAGGACAGATGCTGAGATTATCATGACTCAGATGTTTTGGACCAAAGTGAATTTTCTCTCCGGATTGAGAGAATAAACTGAGAGTGATCGTTCACCGTCACTGACCCACAGAAAATAAAGAACACCTCGTGCTGTTTTCTACTGTGTGAACGTAGAAACTTCGCTCAAACTTCTGACGTTTCACTGTCTTTATTTTCCTGCTCGGGTCCGGATCCGCAGTCTTACCTGGTTCTGATTCCGGATCAAGCGGCTCCGGCTGGTCCCGCTCAGTAGAAACAGACTCTACTGGATTCAGATGCAGAATAAAATCCACTTCACCGTCTCTCCGGCTCGATGAGCTCTACATGTTGTCCGGGAAGTGGTGAGTCAGTTCCCATCAGCTGATCTCGCTTTATGAGGGAGCTGCTGTCAAGTACAACACAATAACACACCACGCTTCCTGTTATCAAAGTAAAAGCTTTTTTATTTTTCATTTTCCTTGTAATTAAGTCTTGTGTAATTTAATAATACTTTGGTTGCATTTAGGGGAGAGGAGATAATTGTAAACCGCAGACTCTCATTTGATTGTAGTCAGTTGTATGTACGTAGTACTTCTTTATATCTTTAGTGACTTTACTCCCCATTTATATGGAATTGTTTGTTTAACATGTATATTAAATAATATGTCTTTACATGTTCAGCATGACATGTTTATTCCTAATCTACAATATATATCTACAATATTAATGAGTAGATAATAAATATAAATTATAATTGGTCCTAAGAAGACATATTTTATATTATTCCTGCTGTGTTTTACTATATTGTTGCTTGTTGTCTGTCCAACAGGACATGTAGAGTTGTTAACAAATACTTTAATAAACAATTAGATCTGCTTACTTCTACATTATAGTTTGTCATAAACCATTTATTATATATATTATATGTTTCTTTTAAATGCTAAATAAAGAAACGTATTTACTTTTTGTCAATAAAATAAATGTATCACACACTTAAATATTATATATAGTTTTACATATGAACAAGTTAATTTACATCTATCAGCAAATAATATTTACAGTTTCATCATAGCACCAAATGTAGCTGTAGATTAATTTATTGATGCAGTGTTAGTTCAATGTATAGCCTATAGGCTACGCTGCCTTTTTCTTTAAGGCGTCTTTTATTTTGATAGTAGACTTGCCTGTGTTTCCGGTCGTGTTGTGTCTAGCTTGACGATGCTGCCGCCGGGAGGAGGAACGATCAGCTGAGTCCTGACAGTCTGTTTGAGGCTTTTCATCAGTTATTATTCACAAACTGAAGACTGATCATCTGTGAGCGACTTCTCCTCCAGTCTGTCACAAACCACTTAAACACCAGTAAATGATGATGATGTTGGTGATCTTTATCTTTTTTATGTGTCTTTATCTTTTATGGGAAAGTGCAGCAGTGAAAATCTCCCCAAGTTTCAGGGGCCAATGGTCAAAGTCAACACGAGTGGAAAATAGGGAGTCTGTCTGTGAAGCAGTGCATTTTTCTGTCTGGTTTCTTGGTACATTATGTAATCCTTTATTTTAATGCTGACCTCTGGAAACAAGTTGAGCTGAATTCACTAAGAAACCGCGGAGGAGCATAAAAGATCATAGAAACCCCTTGAAGAAGTCTTGAAACTCTCAATAGATCCTCTGGAAACCCTGCAAGACTCAACACAACTCCAGCAAGACTAAAATGTCACTAACTGTTCCTTTGACCCTCATCAGGAAAATACAGAGGACCCTCAAGAGTCCACGGTGGACTGTCAAGTCCGATAGGAATTCCCAGATATTTTAGGAAGAGTGGAATATTTAGTGGAATATTCAAAAAAGTGTTTAACAAACCACCAGTGAACCAGGGTATGAGTCAACACTGTCCAAAGCTTTATTGTGACCTTATTTTTCCCTTCTGTAACATGGGATGACAGACTGAAAAAATGCTGACAGTGCAACATTTGAGGAAAATGAACATCATGTGAGATCATAAACTGTGAACCTTGTCTTCCATACAAAGCAAAAAATGATTAAAAGAAAAGAATCTTCTCACGGGCCGATGTCACATGATAAAACAGAATTCACATGAAGATTTGTGTAAAAAAAATGCACCTGATATTTTATTGAGGTTTGTCATATACACATAAAATCTGACCCACTTTTACTGATTGCACTGCTTATTACTTTTTTCATTCAATTTTAATTTAAAGGCTAAATTCTTTACTGAAGAGCGCCAACACCTGGAAGCCCACCCAGAATCCCTGAAACCCAATTAATGAACCTGGAATCCCCACAAAGTATCTCTGGACGCCCATCTGGAGATTTTAAAACCTGTGAGGAGCCAGTGAAACTCCATGAGGAGAAACCAGTCTTGAATTGCTGGTAGCGCTCAAAGACCCAAACAACCCCTTACATGCCTCAAAGGCTCATGCTACTCCTTCAGGGACCCTGATGAACCCTGAGCTTCTGGAAATACTGCAGGAGTCCCAGGAAACCCTCCAAGAACACCATGAATGCCTCCAAGGATCCCTGAAATTTAATCCTAAATCCTTAAAAAACCCACAAGAACCTCTGAAACCCCTAAAAGACATTGAAATAACTGTAGGACCCCTAAGGATTTCTACAAAGCCAAGGCAATTCAGAGGTCTTTCTCCAGTATGACGTCCTCCCAGTAGTCCTTGAAGAATGACACATTAGCGTTGTTCTGGCAGAACTGACGTAACCCTGACCAAACTGCAGGGTCCACATAGGTGTGGAAGATCAGGTACCCTTGGAGACTTGGCAGCAAAGCTTCAAGCTGAGCCAGAAACACGGCGCAGACCGAAGACAAACTGCGGCCAAAGATGTTGATGTTGAAATGCAGGGCGTCGTGGCGGTAGGGGACGGCGTACGGTGCGGTGCACAGGCTGATGGCTGAGGGCTCAAACTCGCGGTCTGCAATCCATGTCAGACTCCTGCGGCGCAGCACCTCCAGGTTGGCCTCCACGGGCTTCAGAGGCTCCCAGTCGTTGATGATGGTTTTGCCGGGCAGCAAGTTGGAAACCACATGGTCGGTCAGGACCAGAGTCTCCGCCTGCTGCTGGTTCAGAGTCACTGGACCTCCGGGGGAGGAGTCAGCCTGGCAGGAGAGTCTGGACTGAAGCTCAGCGACGAAGCGGCCGAGGTCAGTTGCCTCGCAGCACAGAGACAAGATGGCCTGTAGAGGGCGACACAGTCAACATCAGGAGTTCAGCTCTGAGGCAAAGAACTGGTTGTCTGATTTACCCAAACGTACCCTGTGGCGTTTTTGACCACTGATGGTCCTACTGAGCAACATTTTTTAAGGGTGGGTCAGCACACCAGTCACCACACTCCACTTCCACCTCTTGTCCACAAGTTTTATGAGGAAGGAAATCGATTGAACACATTTGTCAGGCCTCAAGAATACACACAATAAGGGTCTGGTGAGAAGGACTTACTCAAACATACAATGACTTTTGTTTGTTTACAAGAAAATCCACAGGGTACCTTCAACTTTTAATGAGACATTTCTGGATTTAAATGTCAACCTAACCATACCCTTATCAAAAAACCAAGTCTTTACGTCATAACGTAAGGGGATCGTTCTGGGGACCAAAGGGGAGTTGTGTCCCCACAATGTAGTCATCTCCAAACTGTAACAAACCTCTTTAGCTATGAATCTGTACTTGGCCAGGACTTGTGGTGAGGGCTGGTCTCCGCGGGTCAGCCTGACAGTCGAGGCGTCTGGGTGGTGGTGGCGGATGTAAGCGTTCACGTGCCTCTGGAGGGCGCCGGCGATTCCAGAACCTCTCAAATCAGGTACTACCCTGAAGCCCTGAAACACGACCGTCTGACCACCGTCAACAAACAGCACAGACTCCAGCGCCACCTACAGGTGCAGACAAAGGTGAGCTTAAGACTCCAGGATTTTTTTTATTGTAGTTGTGGAGTGAGAATACCTGGTGGTAGATGCACATTCTTTTAATGTGGAGACGTCTTCAGTCCTTACCACTCTGTTCTTCATCCTAGCGATGAAGATGAGACGTCCAGGCTCCTGCAGCCAGCGGTGAAAGGTCGCAGGCAGGTAGTCCAGCCCACTGTAGTCATCCTTGCTGCAGATGTTCAGGACCTGCATCACAAACACATCGACAGCTGTTGACACAGCAGCTTTAACTCAAGGAGAGTTAATTTATTTCATTGCATGGCCTCTTTGAGTGACAGGTGGGTGAGCGCAGACTTGCCACTGAAGTCTGAGCTCCACACATGCCCCTCCTCTTTGACCATTTTTGGATTAGCAGGGAGTTAGGGTACTGCCAAGATGGCTACAGCGGAGCAGCTCACTCCTATGGATGATGTCATGGAGGCTACGTCCATCTTTATTTACAGTCTATGGTTGTAACGTTTCAGCCACAGATGTAAATCTTAATATGATTATTAGCAACATATTTATATGTTTGTGTTAACTGCTGTGTACAACTGGGCCATTCCATTAACATTAGCAACATTAGCATATATTACATTAGTCAGTATGCTAACATAAAGCATGTAATGTTAACAGCACATGATAAAGCTAACACGAACACTAGCATGTGAAAATGCCAACAACATTGCTTGCATACCCTGAAAGCCTGTTACCATTAGCACCTTAGTGAGGTTGTTCCCATTTACACTAATACAAAAACTGCAGCTAACAGCAACAAGAACTGTGTGGTTTACTGCATATGTATTTGTATATATCCTACTGTGTAATAGTTTATATACCAAACTGCTTCACTACTGAGAGAATAGGCTAAATCTGAACATATAAAACTGATTTAACTCAAACTGTTCATTATTCCTTTAATTAAACAACTTAAAGGTTTATTAGAACTGAGGTCTTACTTTGGGAACACTGTGTAAGAGTACAAAGGATTGTCTGGACTATAAAAATAAGACCTGTTATAATCAAGAGGGATTATTCTTTAAAGCAGGAAAAATTAAGTTCCAATAGTTTGATATATATTTTTATAGTGTAATGACTTGTCAATAAAAAGTAAATGTGACCTGTTGGGAGTCCTTCTCCTCTGCGAAGCTGAACTCCACATCACAGACTTCCCCCGCTGCAGACATCCAGAACCTGCTTTCAACTAAAACCAGCTGCTCCCCCGAATCTGTTTTACAGTCTAATTAGATCCTTTTAACAGTTAATGTGAGCCACTAAGATTTTGGTGCACACTGTTTTTCAAAGTCTCTAAAACAACTTTGGATCTTTCTGCGCCTCACTGTTAACTTCCCTTCCAGCTGTGATTGTGAAGGTTTCCTCGCTGTGGACTCTGGACTCAGTTCAGGAAGCTGCACTGCGGAGTCAGCTGGATGTCAGACGGAAAATAGGAAGAAAATAGTGGGTTGCATTCAAGATCCACGACAGCAGTGTTTACGGTGGGTGTTTGAAATTCTCAATGTTCACTTTTAGGATTACACACACCAAGTTTTTCTTGGATAAATGTATATCAGTTTTCACTTTTTTGTGATTGAGAACAACAAACCTTAAAAAAAGTATTTTCTGTGTCTGGTCTTGTGGTTTTTATTGAGACTGTTAATCATTACAACTGTCTCACAATGAGCATGTGAAGCCATTATTGAACACTTCTGGAGCACGACAGGGAACTCTGAACAGACCCTCCTCTGCTGGTTGAGGATTTAGAGTCAAAGTGCAACCTGAAAGTTTTCCTGAAGGTGAAGTGTATAAAACAGTAACCTGATCAAGTTTGAGGTAGATGTGCTGAAACGACTCATTGCCTGATGGAGTGTAAACAGTGACACCTGCTGGCAGAATTTCAGTCCTGCATTTACATGGAAGGATTACTGTTAATGCAAAATCTGACTCAAAACATACGTGACTGCTTTCATGTCTGATCAATAGTTAAGATCATAGCACCTCCCTGAACCGATAAAATGTCAAATTAGCACACAATTGATATTATTATTATTATTATTATTTCAATATATCTGATAATAGTGATAAACGTTATTTATTTACTTTCTCAACAAACTTCCACAGTTCTTTACAGGAAGAAATATAAAAAAGCTGATAAAACACATGACAATAAAAACAAACAGTAATGTTAAAACAATTGGTATAAAATAAAGTTAAAAATATAAAGAAACAAAACTGGGATTATAACCTGGCAACATATTAAATATTTACAAAAGCTTTACAGAACAGGATGTTTCAAGAAGAGATTTTATAAAAGTTAAAGATGTAGCCTGTTGCATTTTAACAGGCAGCTCTTGCACAGTCTACTGACTTGGACCTGGGAAAACCAACACAGAGCCATTCATCCACAGTTTGGAGCCAGGACATTTAATGCTTTAAAAATTATCAGTAGAACTTAAAAATCGATATGAAACCTAACGGGCTGAAGTCAGTGGAACCCAACCATGGAGCCCCAACATCTACACAGTAAGACATTATGTCAGTCAATAGGGGACAAGAATGATCTGGTTTTTGAGATTTTTTCGTGTTAAAAGAAGCATGACTGGACAATATCCTGCACTTGAACATCAAAACAGATCTGCAGTAAAAAATACTACAAGATTTTTAGAAGTATACTACCAGGAAACCAAGCTAGCTGTGTAATGAGCCTTTCATGAGCTCTTAAAGAACAGCTGGAACCCAACCAAAGATCCACAGGATCTACACAAGACCAGAAACTTACTGCAAACCCTTAGCGCTCAGTCAAGACCCAGAGAAACCCTTACAAGAACTTCTGAAACCCCTAAAGGAGAGAGAATTACAAAAGGGCTAAAAATACTTGTAGGCTGTATCACTCAAACTCAGAGGTCTATCTCCAGTAAGACCTCCTCCCAGAAGTCCATCAAAAATGATGTGGTACCATTTAGGCCACATTTAAAACCCAACAGGTTCCCCTTAAAATGCCTCAAGACCCCTTGAAAACACTCAATGACCCATGCAACCCTTTAAGGAACCCTGACAAGCCTCAAGATACCCTGGAACCCCTAAGGAAGCCAAGGCAATTCAGAGGTCTTTCTCCAGTATGACGTTCTCCCAGTAGTCCTTGAAGAATGACACATTAGCGTTGTTCTGGCAGAACTGACGTAACCCTGACCAAACTGCAGGGTCCACATAGGTGTGGAAGATCAGGTACCCTTGGAGACTTGGCAGCAAAGCTTCAAGCTGAGCCAGAAACACGGCGCAGACCGAAGACAAACTGCGGCCAAAGATGTTGATGTTGAAATGCAGGGCGTCGTGGCGGTAGGGGACGGCGTACGGTGCGGTGCACAGGCTGATGGCTGAGGGCTCAAACTCATGATCTACAATCCATGTCAGACTCCTGCGGCGCAGCACCTCCAGGTTGGCCTCCACGGGCTTCAGAGGCTCCCAGTCGTTGATGATGGTTTTGCCGGGCAGCAAGTTGGAAACCACATGGTCGGTCAGGACCAGAGTCTCCGCCTGCTGCTGGTTCAGAGTCACTGGACCTCCGGGGGAGGAGTCAGCCTGGCAGGAGAGTCTGGACTGAAGCTCAGCGACGAAGCGGCCGAGGTCAGTTGCCTCGCAGCACAGAGACAAGATGGCCTGTAGAGGGCGACACAGTCAACATCAGGAGTTCAGCTCTGAGATGACAGTGATTCTTCTTCTTACTGATATTAATCTTAGCCTGATTCAAACACTTAAAACTTAAAACACAAAGATAGATGTTCCCACAGCCTGACACACCTCTTTAGCAACGAGTCTGTACTTGGCCAGTGTTTCTGGTGAAGGCTCGTCTCCTCGGCTCAGCCTGAGAGCAGAGACTTCTGGGTAGTGGCAGCGGATGTAGGCAGTCACGTGCCTCTGGAGGGCGCCAGCGATTCCACAACTTCTCAAATCAGGTGCCACCCTGAGACCCTGAAACACGACCGTCTGACCACCGTCCACAAGCAGCGCAGACTCCAGCGCCACCTACAGGTACGCACAAAGGTGAGCTTTAAGACTCCAGGATTTTTTTAGTTTAGTTTAGCTTTTTAGTTGTGGAGTGAGAATACCTGGTGGTAGATGCACATTCTTTTAATGTGGAGACGTTTTCAGTCCTTACCACTCTGTTCTTCATCCTAGTGATGAAGACGAGGCGTCCAGGCTCATGCAGCCAGCGGTGAAAGGTCGCAGCCATGTAGTCCAGCCCATCAAAGTCCTCACTGCTGCAGATGTTCAGGACCTGCATCACAAACACACAGCAGCTTTGACTCAAGGACACTGACATGTTTGGAATTTAAATGTGTTTTAAATCTGACATCATGCATTAAATCAGGCTGACTGGGGTATATTGTTTTACAGTGTAATGACTTGACGGTAAAAAGTAACTGTGACCTGTTGGAAGTCCTTCTCTTCTGCAAGGCTGTACTCCACATCACAGGCTTCCCCCGCTGCAGACATCCAGAACCTGCTTTCAACTAAACCAGCTGATCTGATTTTATCTGAACTGTTGCATAAGATCCTTTTAACAGCTGATGTGAGTCTCTGAAACACTGTGAATCTTCTGTGCTCACTGTTTCTTTCCCGATAACATCTGTGATTTTGAAAGTTTCTCACTGTGGAGGAGACTCTGGATCAGGAAGTCAAATGGACATGGAAAGAAACAAAAGGAAAAAATCTTGGGCTGCGTTCAAGATCCACAACATAGCAATAGTGTTTAACACGGATGTTTAAAACGCTTCAAGTGACCGTGAACACAACCAACCCAACATATCTGTGTCAGTCAGAGTCCTGGAGGGAAGCTGCAGAGGGAACCAGTGTGAAGTGTGACAGTCCACGTGTGTGGACAGAGGGGACGTGTGCACACGAGGTTCTTTAGGACAGACTGGAGCGCGCGCTGACGCTGTGACACGCGCCAAAAGTCAAAACAAGCCAAACGTGCCATTACGCACGCGAGTGGCACCATTAACTGGAGTCAAGCAGAATATGAATAAGTCTCCCTCTCTCTCTCTCTCCCTCCCTCTCTCTCCCCCTCTCTCCCTCTCTCTCCCTCCCTCTCTCTCTCCCTCTCTCTCTCTCTCCCTCTCTCCCTCCCTCTCTCTCTCCCTCTCTCCCTCTCTCTCTCCCTCTCTCCCTCTTTAGTAAAACAGTAAAGGTTGAGAGTTTGTTCACATGACCACAAGGCCTCACCAACAGGAAGTCGTCTCTTCATACGGTCGTTTCCTGGATCTACGTGGGTTTTGAAACAGAACATCTTGTGGCTGAGAGAAGACACTCTGGTGAGGGCGGAGTCCAGGTGTATTTTACACTGAAACACTAGAACTGCCTCCTCGGACTCGTATCCCTCCGCCACTCAAACTAGTTCCAGGTCACATCCCAGAGTCATAACATATGAACATTTGGGTGACTCTTTGTCATAATTGCTGAGTGAAGCTAAAAGGGCTGAAGGCTAAAAAGTGTTTTGACCTTTGACCTTTGACCACCAAAATCGAATCAGTTCGACGGACAAC